ATTTTCTTACATCTATCTGTTTTAGGTAACAACCATCCCATCACAAAATTACTTAAATAGAAAATACACTTTCAAAGTAGAGTACCTACCTAATTATAGTTTAATTATTTCATTGCACATCTTAGATTGAAAGCGTATTTGTTATTTGATTAATTTTGTCACTCTATCAGAAATTGGGTCCAGCTGATTTCTAAGAAGCTAAAGAAGGATTTGTGTCTGTAACAGTAAGAAATCAACTCCCCATCAACTTTCGAAATTCAGGAATTTACCTTCACATTAGTAACAACTCTTTTTTATTAAAGCTTTTGAAATTAACTAATTAAATAAATTTTGGATAAGTTACTAAATTTTAGAAAGAAGTGGATCCAGATCCTGCCAGTTTGCCACCGTCGTATTTATGGAGCTAATTTGAAGGAAAGTAGATGTACCTTTACAACAAGGAGAAATCACCTAAATCTTCGAATTATATTTTTGTAAATTTCAGATACCTGATTAGTGACTTGAAAATTAAATACTTCTTAAGAAATAAGTTATTTAATAACACTTTCAAAGATTTGTTTGCATTTGAGGAAACTTTTAATTTATAAATTTAATTAAGTAACTACTTTTTTGAAAATGCATTTTATTTAAAGTTAGTTCTAAATATTAACTTAAGACGTTTTTGTATTTAATAAAAGTGATATATCTTGTTTTGCTTACGTAGTATAAGCCCCAGAATAATGGTATAATTTAATATATTTGTGTATTTATTTAATGAAACTAATATATACTGTGTAGCTTACTTAGCATAAGTCGTAGAATAATGCATTAATTTAAGATATTTTTCTTTATTTAACAAAACTTATAACGTGTTGCTTACTTACTATAAGACGTAGAATAATGCATTAATTTAAGATATTTTTCTGTATTTAATAAAACTTATAACTTGTTGCTTATTTAGTATAATCCTTAGAGTAACATAATTTTAGATAGACTAAGTAGCTAGTTATAATTAGTTTAATATATTTCTGTATTTAATAAAATTGACTTAACCGTGTTACTTAACTTAGCATAAGGAGTAGAATAATATAATTTTAGATAGATTTTAAGTATTATTAAACGTACAAATGTGTTATTATTAATACGGTAACCTCTGAAATTTCGTAAAACATTCATATCAATAAACCTACTCGTTTTTCTGTTGTATGTTGTATGTATTATATATTATGCAGTTATTCAAAATAAATATGTTTGTTGTAATAAATAAAAAATCATGTGTTTAAATTGCATTATAATTGTTTTATCATTATCTTGGTGTTTAAATAAACAAATAAGTAAATAAACTGAGTTTTTTTATTTCATGAATGTTTCATAAAGGTCCTTAGATGTGGACAATAGTAAACCCACAAAAGATGAGAAATACCATACGAAAATTATGTTAATTTCCAATACTACCAGCGTCATCCCACGCCGAGGAGCTGAACTATGTTGAAAATAGAGGGAAAATTACTGTAGAAATTAGTTCCGCGCTAAAAGTGCGAACTTCGAAAAAAGACCTTATGCGACTTATGCTCTCCTAATACAAATGTTGAAATTTACGAAAATTTTCAGTTTCGCGACCCATACGAGGTCCGATTAAAATATAATTGAACATCCAAAATTTTTAATTTCCCGCGTTCCGAAAAAGACCTTATGCGACTTATGCTCTCCTAATACAAATGTTGAAATTTACGAAAATTTTCAGTTTCGCGACCCATACGAGGTCCGATTAAAATATAATTGAACATCCAAAATTTTCGATTTCCCGCGCTCCGAAAAAGACCTTATGCGACTTATGCTCTCCTAATACAAATGTTGAAATTTACGAAAATTTTCAGTTTCGCGACCCATACGAGGTCCGATTAAAATATAATTGAACATC